TTTCAAGGCAAAAAGCCTCCACGCCCTAGCTTTATAGAACAAGTCACCTTCCGTTTGTCACCAGTAGACGGCGACAACACGACGGATTAAAGCTGGTCCTTAGTGAAGGAAACCAACAGGCAACATCTAACTTCCTATGTAAGAGCTGGAAAAATAGTCTGGCAGTAAATTCTTTTCTTTCTTTCTTTCTTTTTTTTCCCTTGTACAAAGCTATTTCAAAACTTTACAATCTGTTCTCAGGGAGTAGGCTCTTATGTTAGTGAGGAAGGAAATTCACATAAAGAAATCAGGGCCAGTGTAAAACCAATAGGACTTAGGCTGTAATAAAAGTCTAGGGGACCAAAAACCTAACAAAAATATTCTTCATTGTTAAGATATAATGTATTTCTATGCACCAATTGATTAACGGTATTTATAGAGCAACTACTTAGTGGCGTTCTAAGGACTCAGAAGTGTTCAAAAAAGGTGACCCTTCAAGAGAAATATGAATTTCAAGGTTTTTCTTTTTTTCTTTTAAGCACATGACATTTTTATTTTGGGCTGTACTTTATAAGGTGTGAAAAGTAAATAGGATTTGCAATCACCATTTCTGCAGTGTAACTTTGGGCTGCTGGTTGATACAAACACCCCCATACTCAAAAAAATGCAAAATTATTTCTGTAGTTGAGTCATCTTGTTAGTCAACCATTTAATCAATACAGCATAAGCACTCATGTGTTGGGATACTGAGGTTTCGAAGGCACATTTTCTGTCAAGAAGGAAATTGCGATCCAGCTAGAGAAGAAAAACATGGGAACAAACATATTATTTAATAACAAGTAAAGGGCCTGGTGTGGTGGTTCACACCTGTAATCCCAGCACTTTGGGAGTCCGAGGTGGGTGAATCACTCAAGGTCAGGAGTTCAAGATCAGCCTGGCCAATATGGTAATGGGCTGAGACTGACTCAAAAAAAAAAAAAAAAAAAAAAAGAGAGAGAAATAATATGAGGATTGCCACTTAAAAGGCACTCCAACATATTGCAAACCCTGTGAGACCAGAGACCATTTTGACTTGTTCATCAAACACCTTTCAAAGAGCTGGCATTTAGCATAAGTTCTAAGCATATTTACAGAGTCAATGAATCAACACACGAATGAATACCATCTAAAGGGTAAAGAATAATTCATTAATGAAATGATATGAGGGCCAGTCTTGGTGGCTTACACCTGTAATCCCAGCACTTTGGGAGGCTGAGGCAGGTAGATCACTTGAGGTCTGGAGTTCGAGACCAGCCTCGCCAATATGGCAAAGCCCTATCTCTACTAAAAATATAAAAATTAGCCAGGCATGGTGGTGGGTGCCTGGAATCCCAGCTACTCTGGAGACTGAGGCAGGAGAATTGCTTGAACCTGGGAGGCAGAGGTTGTAGTGAGCAGAGATCGTGCTACTGCCCTCCAGCCTGAGTGACAGAGCGAGACTCTGCCTCAAAACAAAAACAAAAACAAACCAAGGAAAAGAATCAAGTGAGTGGTGGTTTGGATGGACAGTTGGGTGATGGAAGGCTGTCTAGAGCAGGGGGTGAAGCATGGGCTTTCAGATCAGGGGATATCTGGCTCCACCTGTGCTTGGGGATGACCCTGGGCCAGTCATCATCCTCACTGAGAAGCCAGTAGGGCTGGGTTTGATCCTGGATGCATGACCTAATCTCTATGAGAATTTGAATCAGTTCACCATTCTGAGCCTCAGGTTTCTGGTCAGTTCAGTTAAAATGATAGTAACAGTACCAACTTAATGGGGTTGCTGTGAGGATAATCTAGATAATCCATGGAAAGAATTTAACCCACTGTCTACTACACGATTAGCTCTTATGTTGATGGGGATTTCATTCCCTCTTCTGAAAACTGGGGATAACAATAGCCCACATTTAATAGGCCTCTTGTAAAGATTAAGTAATAAATGTAAACATATTTTACATGTATTACATGTGTTACATATAAATAATGCATGAATGTAAATTGCCAAGCACAGTTCTTAGCATACAATAAGTATTCAAGAACTGCTGCTAGTGAAAGTGAAGACCACTTATGCCAGGGTAGTCAGGGGAGGCTTCTTGGAGGAAAAGAGGCTTGAAGGATGAATCATCTTTGGAAAGAATACAGAAGCAGGCATTCTAGTGGGGGCCCGGGCATATAAGCAAGTCATGGAGCTAGAAATATGAAAGATGTGTGCTCGAGAAAAAACAGAATCCCTAAAGGAAGCACCTGATCAAATCAGAAACTTAGAAAGGTCGTTAGACTCAAGGATGGTCATGCTTGCAGCAGCCAAAATTGAGACTGGGTCATGAAATGAATCACTTCAACAAGCCACTTCCCTCTCTGGGCCTCAGCTTCTGGGATGGTAGGGTTAGACAGGAGTGGTTCCTCATCAGGGACTCTTTCAGTGCTAACATTCTGTAAATACAAGTTTGTTCCCACAGTGCAGTGTGAGCACACATGTTTATGCAGCCCCGGAGGACTTTAAAATTGATGTGTGAGTGTCTTCAGTGCTTACACCATGGAGGCTAGGTTTCCTTCAAGCCATTCATTCATTCATTCATTTTTCTAAATATTTACTAAGCTCTGACTATGTGCAAACCACTATTCTACATGCCAGGGCTTGCTTTCTAAAAGCAAGATCTGACTGCATCCCAGCCCTGCTTACTTACTTTCAATGACTTCTGGTTGACAAGCGCAAACTCCGGGCCACATAAACTATGTCCTTCTCTATTGCCATGCCTTGCTTTTGTTCCTGCAGTTTCCTCTCTCTAGATTGTCCCTCCAAGTCGTCTAGACTGGCCAGCATCTAATGATCCAGATTCCTTTAAAATTTCCCTTCCCTTCTGAAGCCATCACCAAATCTGCTTGTCCCTTGTCCCTAACCCACACTGGTGTAACGCTTTCTTCTCTGTGCTCACACAGCACTTTGTATCACCTCTGGTTACTGTGCTTGTCACTTTTTCAGTTCATTGTTTTTGTGGCTTTCTTTCCTGCTAGATTTTGAAAACAATGAGGCAGGAACAGTGTTTTATTCATCTTTGAAACCTCAGCACCTGGCGTACTGCTTGGCACATGAGCAATAATTAAACATTTGATGAATAAGTTTGTTGAAGCTTTGGAAGTGGATGAGAATGGTGATATGAATCATATGACAATAATAGTGACTATTTTATATCATGTACTTCTTACACACCAAATTCTGAGCCAAGTGCTCTACATTCATGATCTGTTTAGTTTTAATCCTCACAACATGCTGTGAGGTAGGGGATAGGGGGTTGGTGAGACATCTGTCTCTGGAGTTACAGAGGCCAGAGTTTGAATTCTGGTTCCATGAGTTCCTTGTACACTCTTGTACTTTGTGCCTTGCAGTAGGGGACTTGGTTAAGGAGATGAGTGGGGCTAAATGCTCCCTCTGCTTACCAAACCAAGTACTCTGAAATGGGGTTGCACCTGCCCAGAGGAAAGTTAGTGCCTGCCCATAGGCTGCCCTTTTTGGAAGTGGATGAGAATGGTGATTTCATATTTGAAAAAGGGCACCCTATGGGCAGGCACTGGTCTTGTCTAGCTCCAACCCATGCCAGCTGTGTGGCATTGTACAACTTACTTAACCCTGCTTTTTGCCTAGCCTTTCTCGTCTTTATAATGAGATTATGACACCACTAACCTCATCAAGTTTTTATTAGGGTTAGGCAGGATAATGCATGTGGTATGCTTGGCACTTGTCTCAGATACATATCCCATAGATGTTAGTTTTTATTATTAGTAGCAATAATAGCCCTATTTGCCAAATAAGCAAATTTAGGAGAAAAGAGTTGGCTGAGAGCAGAATTTGGGGGCACTCCTCCATTTAGAGGCAGCAGAAAGAACCAGGGGAGAGAAGGGCTGAAAACATGTGCAAGGGTGAGTTAGAGGAGAGGCCGGTCAGGTATCAGGAACTTCTGAAAGATTAAGCTGGAAAAAGCCTGCGAACAGTCCCCTGGACTTACAGTTAGAGATCACTAATGATCTTTGAATGAGAAGTGTCATGACAGCAGTGGGAGAGGAAGCCAGATTGCTGTGGGCTAAGGTGTCAATGAGTGGTAAGGCAGAAATAGTAACTCTGACCTATTCATCAGAAATTAACTTGTGAAATGCTTGTTTCTGTGCCCCCAAATTCATATGTTGACATCCCCAACCCTAAGGTGATGGTATTAGGAGGTGGGGCATTTGGGAGGTGATTAGATCATGAGGTTGGAGCCCTCACTGATGAAATTAGTGCCCTTATAAAAGAAGCCTGAGGCTAGGCGCAGTAGCTCACACCTGTAATCCCAGCTACTCAGGAGGCTGAAGCAGGAGAATCACTTGAACCTGGAGGAGTGGAGGTTGCAGTGAGCCGAGATAGCACCACTTCACTCCAGTGTGGGTGAAAGAGCGAAACTCCATCTTAAAAAAAAAAAAAGAAGCCTGACTGAGACAGACTTCTTGCCCCTTCTGCCATGTGGAAGGTGCTGTCTATGAGCCAAAAACTGGGCTCCCACCAGACACTGAATCTGCCTTGGTCTTGGACTTTTTCAGCCTCCAGAACTGTAAGAAACAAATTCTTGTTGTTTATAAGCTACTAGGTTATGATATTTTGTTATAGAAGCCCAACCAGACTAAGACATGAAGGGTCAGAGACAAATAGGTCAGTTGCTTTAGGGGGATTCAGATTGATAAACACCTTCCACAGACTTTATTTCTTTTTTTAAAATTTTATCCACATGCTTTATTTTAGGTGATAGGTATCCCCTTCAAAGGACCAGATCAAGGGAGCTCTAGGGAGACATGGACCCCTGCCCAAACCCCATATCTATCTGGAGGATCTGGCCATCTCTCCATCTCTCCAGACTCCTGGGATGATAAGAAGGACGATTTATCTCAACTACTCAAACACTGAATGGGACTCTCTTGTATTTAAGGAGAGAAGAGTGCTGAATGTATTTTTTTTTTTTTTTTTTTTTAGGCAGAGTACAGTCAACAGAATACAAAGCGATAGAAGGATGATGTCAATGACCCAGGTGGATGGATTCATCCTGATGGGTGGTGGGGATGGAGAATGCAAGGGAGAAGACAAATAGACAAGTCAAGGATGCAGCAGAATGAAAATGAAGGACTCTCTGATGGTCTGTCTTTCTTGGAACAGAAAAAGGTAAGGTCTGCGGAGAGTTCAGGGAGCAAAAGGTGAAGGGCCATACACTAGTCAGGACAGGTTAAATGCTGCAACAAACAATCCCCAAGTTTTAGTGGCTTACTATAATGAAAGTTTATTTCTCTTCATATCAAGTCCAGACAACATGGGGTTGGCAGGAGCCTCTGCTCCATGCAGTGATCAAGGATCCAGGATCCATCCATTTTATGGCTCCCTCATTTTGTAGGGCCTCAAAGTCCTTTTCTGAACCTTTTTCATCTGCTGGCAAAAGCAAGAAGAAAGAAGATGTGGAGGATAGTGTAGGAGATTTTATAGGCTACTCCTGGAGGTGTCGCACATCACTTTTGCTTGTGTTTTATTGGCTAAACTTCAGTCACATGATGAATCTTAACTGCAAGGGTGGCTAGGAAGCATCATCAAACAGTGTGCACAATACCATCTTGTCTGTGTCCTCAGTGCCCAGTGCCTTGCACAATGTCTGTGCAATAGTGGATACTCAGAAACATCACTGAATAAGTACATAGGTGAACATGATCTCATTTGGTCCTCCCTATTCTAGGTTCAAAGACAACATAGACCTAATGTCCTAGATATGATCTAAAGGTTGGGCTTATGCTTAGAGCTGGTCTTCCTATGATGCTGATGTACTGCAGGGATCCATTCATACTCTTTGCACTGGTATGTTTGCTAGTTGGGGTTAGACCTGAAGTCTGTAGTTAGTGAATCTAGCAGAATTATACTGCCTTCCTCTCAGGGAAAGAAATATCAGGTCTTTTCTTTCAAAGCGCAGCACTATAACAAGTTGAGCGAATGTTTCTACAAGTACATTAACCAACCACAATTTCCAGTTCAAATATGAGATAACCAGCCCATGATTTGGCTAACCAGATCCTACCTAAGCCATCCAGCCCCTTGCTAAACTAGCAAGTCCCAAGATGAATGGACATGTTACTGACTGAACTAACAAGTCCCCATTTAAGCTAACTAGTTCCTACGGCCACAAGGTACCGCTGATTCGACCGTGTCCTACAGAGAAAGTTTAAAACCCAGGACTGGGGTTAATCTTCTCCATGACCTTTATACTGATGCTTTTTATGGATAACGTGCACTCTAGAAGGGGAAGGAAAGCTGGTGATGTGAGTCATAACTTTTCTAAAGGTCAAATAAAGGGCTCTTTATCAGGCTGGCGAAGCTTGCCTGCAAGTGCAGCACGATGCGGAACCGTGTCGGGCAGGGAATGCCAAGGATATTTTTATGAACAACTCCAGAGCCATCAACAATGTGGGTCTGGTGCAGAGATTCCCATATTTGCAGATGATATTTCATGAGCCAGGGTGCCTGTGAATGAGAGTGAGTGCCAACAAGCCCAAGAAAGAGAAGGAAGCAGAGGCAGGCAGTTCTAAAACAAGTCGGCGTTTCAGGCCTGTGGAGACACAGGAGCTGAGGCTGACATCTCTAACTCACTCGGTCTGGTGTGGGGCAGTAGAGGCAGCGCTAGGTAGCAGGGTGTTGGGTGGATGGGAAGTGGGTAGGGTGTCCTAGTGCCAGGAGTCCTGCCCAGACAGTAGAAGGCAGCTGGGCCCTTAAGGATAAGAGTTCTGATGGCAAGGAGACAGGCATCCCATTCAAAGGGTAGATCCGTGGAGCCCTCAGGGAACATGGACCACCCCCTGCCTAAACCCCAAGTCATCTGGAAAATCTGGCCATCTCTCCAGCCTCCTGAGATGACAAGGAGGATGAATTTCCTCAACCACCCAACTCCAGACAGGATTGTGTCCTGTCTCATGATAAGGCAACTCATTTCAAAGCAATTTAAGGTCCAGGCTTTGGAGTCAGTGGGTTCTAAGTCCCCAGTTACCACCTAGTAGCTATGTGGCCGTGGGCAATTCATTCAACCTCTCTGGGCTTCAGTTTCCTCTTCTATAGAATAGTGATACTATTTTGCAGGTTAGTGAAGATTTATTTAATGAGATTGTGCATGAAAAAAGCGTAACCAACTGCCCAGAAAGCAGTAGGTACGTAATATTCAAGTTTGATTTCCTTCCCCTCAAGCCTGGCTTGGCGCTCTCTGGACCAGGCTTAGGCCTTCCCTTGTCACAGTGGAGCCTTGGATAGGCATGTGGCATCACTTCTACAGTGCCCACTTTGACTGCCTGCCCAGCAGACATGGGATCCTGCCTTGCTTCCCTGGCCCATGTGGGCCTGCTGATGGCTCCAACCTCCCTGGCAGGAGTTCTCAGGCTATGATCATTCTGAGATCATTCAGGCTTGTGGAGACACAGCAGGTAAGGCCTCATTCTCAGGCTATGATCAGGACTCATGCCCAGCATACTTATTCTTGGAAATAGCACAGTACAGGCAGGCAAGGTACTGGCAGGTATGGATCAAGGCTGGGAACCTCTGCCAGACTTCACGTAAACAACTAAATCTTGCTCATGAATGAAGGCAGTTGTGGCTGGGCTGACCTCTCCCCCACGTCTCTTTCTAACAATGTCCAAATTAATGTTCTCCAGCTCTGCAGAGGAAATATTCTAAAGCATAGTAGTTTGACCTAAAGAAGGACTAAAAGTCAGACAAAAGTTCTACCATGTAATTTATATGTGCTGAGCTGATGTGGATGGGAATATGTTGGTGGTCAACCAGGGAGCCTTCTACATTCTTGAGTCAAATTGGAGTGGTATTTATTGTGGTCTAGGGAACTCTTTGGACAGGCAAGACTCCAGGCCAGTGTTTATGACAATGGGGGATCTCTAGATCACCTTTCCCAGGACATCCAGGGATGCTTGTGCACACGTGCACACTACATTTTAGGAACTCTATTCTTCCTTCTTTTTTTTTTTTTTTTTTGTTTGTTTTTTGTTTCTTGAGATGGAGTCTCGCTCTGTTGCCCAGGCTGGAGTGCAGCAGTGTGATCTCGGCTCACTGCAACCTCCACCTCCTGAGCTCAAGCGATTCTCCTGCCTTAGTCTCCCGAGTAACTGGGATTATAGGCACGTGCCAGCACACCTGGCTGATTTTTGTATTTTTAGTAGAGATGAGGTTCCACCATGTTGGCCAGGCTGGTCTTGAACTCCTGACCTCAAATGATCTGCCTGCTTTGGCCTCCCAAAGTGCTGGGACTACAGGCGTGAGCCACCGCACCCGGCCCATCCATCGTTCTTGACTCCATCTCCATCCTTCTCCACTCACTCTGCACCAGCCACCATGGTCTTCCCAACTTGAACACTCTAATCATACCCTTGGAGCCTTTGTTTTCACTCCTCCTCTTGTCTGGGAACTCTTTCTTCCCTCATCTCCTTCAGGACTCATCAGAGAGCGTCTCACTGACCATCCTTTATAAAATGGCACCCCCGCAAACTACTATTTCCTTATCATGGTGATGTTTCTTCTTACAACTTAGCTTCAGACTTATTACTACTTATTTTTTGTTTACTGTCTGTCTCCTACAAAATCAAGCTCCATGAAGACAGGTTTTCATTTTCATTTTGTTCACTGTTGTTTGCTCAGTTCTTAAAACAGCGAGGCCCCTAGTAGGCCTTTAATACTTGGTCAATAGATGTGGGACTTGACCTTCAATTTGGCCTGTTGTCCATATATGGTGAATTAGGTAGAAAGCTATCATTAATCTCTTTACACAGATGAGGAAACTGAAGTTCAGAGAGGTTAAGTGACTTGCCCAGGGTCAGTAACTAGTTAGAGAGAAGGTCATAACCAGAACCCAGATGTCTTGAATCTCAATATTATGCAAATGATGTGAGTCATTTGTGCCTCCTTAATTCTTCAGCACATTTCCCAAAGGACATCATATTGTGTTGCCTTAAAGACTGCCTTTAAATGGAGCACTGACATTTAAGCTTGATTGATTCTGCTCACAGACTTCTCAGAAATTAGAATTTAGAGGTAATAGGCAGAGACTAGTGCTTTTTAGTACAAACCACTTTTCAGTTTGTCCAGCATCTACTCTGAACTCTGTTTATTCCAGGTCTAATGCAGAAAATACATGCACCAAAAAACAAATTAAAAATAAATGATAAGTGAGTTAGAAACTGCCTGGGGCTGTCAGGAACTTATGCACCGTGCTCTGTGGGTTTTGAGTAAATATTTGCTTTGCAAGTCAGGAAGCAGTATGTATTTATCGAGGCAGTCTCTGGCTGAAGGGCACACATGCTACTTCTGAGGCTTAGCGCAATCTTTCCAGAGAAGATTGCACGCGGGCCTAAGCACCACGGCCTTCTGCAGAGAGGAGGCAGCTTGGCATCAGAGACCCGGGTTCTCGTTTGAATTCTGCCCCTCTCTTGTTGGGCAAATTTGGGCAACTTACTGCTCTCTCTGGACCTTTTTGCCCTTAGCATCCTATGACTTTAATACAGGCCTGAAAGACTTTTATTAAAATAAAAATAGTTAGAAAGAATAATAAGACCTAGTATTTGATAGCACAACAGGGTGACTGTAGTCAATAATAATTTCATTGAACATTTAGAAATAATATAAAGAGTATCATTCGATTGTATAATTTTGCAATTATACAATACAATTACACAGATGAGGAAACTGCAGTTCAGAGAGGTTAAGTGACTTGCCCAGGGTCCCCAACTAGTTAGAGAGGAGGTCATAAGCAGAACCCAGACATCTTAACACAAGACGTAAATACTTGAAGGGATGGATACCCCCTTTTCCATGACGTGATTATTAAACATTGCATGCCTATATTGAAGTATCTCATGTACCTCATAAATATATACACCTACTATGTACCCACAAAAAAAAAAAAGAAATAATAAAATAATTAAAAGTAAAAATTAAGAAATCGTTTTGTGGTCAGGAAATGGTTCAGATGTGAGGGGCGGGGAAGAGGTTGTGAGTGCTTTTCTGTTTCTTTCTTCTTCTATCTTTTCCATTGCGTTAACTCTTTTCTTTCTTGTTTTTACTCTCAATTCAAGCATCTCTTTCTCTAAGCACTTGTAACCAATGCCAGAACTTCCTGAGGGCCTTTGCTGTGTTCTTAAACAACAGCTAGTACCTGTGCCAAAAACAATCTGGGCTTGCAGGATAAGTGTTCGGCTATGTGGGGTGATGCAGTGGGCAGCGCCTAGAGTTTCCTCTGTCTAAAACATCACTCATCAGATCACACAGTGGCAAAGATGCTCACTGAACACGTTCACTCGGCAGCTGCATATTGAGCTCCTTCCAGAGGGATATGTCAGCCAACAGAGCTCAGCCTGGCCGTAGCGAAGCATAAGGTCTGGCAATGGAGAGATGGTTAGGGAATCAGCCCGAGTTCATGCTCCTGTGAAACTACTACAGGGAGCTGTAGCCACAGGAGGGGCAACTCCTTCCAGTCTCAGTCTTGGCAAAAACCCTGGCGAACCTTTCCAAGGTATAATATGTGGCCTCTAAAACAAGATCTGAAATTATTCAGATAATTTCAGATAATAACTTCAGAAAGCTGAAGTTATTCAGGCAAAGGTGAGGAGGGAGAAAGTGTTCCGGGCTGAAGGTATATGTAAATGCAGAGGCCAGGCTGGGGGTGGATGAATTCAAAGAAGGCAGAGAGCAGGGGGCTGGAGTGGGAGAGCGGGGCAGGAGATGAAATTAGAGAGGAAAGGGGATGGGCTGGGTCTTGCCTAGAGCCTTGTGAGCACTTGAAACAGTTTGGGCTGGCCGGGCACAGTGGCTCACGCCTATAATCCCAGCACTTTGGGAGGCTGAGGCAGGTGGATCACTTGAGGTCAGGAGTTCCAGTCCAGCCTGGCCCACATGGTTAAATCCAGTCTCTACTAAAAAAAAAAAAAAAACAACAAAAACAAAAACCAAAAATTAGCTAGGTGTGGTGACACATACCTGCAGTCCCAGCTACTCGGGAGACTGAGGCAGGAGAATCATTTGAACCTGGGAGGCAGAGGTTGCAGTGAGCCGAGATTGTGCCACTGCACTCCAGTCTGGGCTACAGAGCCAAACTCCGTCTCAAAAAAAAAAAAAAAAAAAAAAAGTTTGGGCTCTGTGCCCAGGGCAGTGGGCAGTTCCTGGAGCTTGGGAATGTCACATTCAGATCTGTACTTTAGCAAGGTCACTCCCCACCTCTGCAGAGTGTACAGCCCCTCTCTGGAGGGAGGCAAGGCTGGAAAACCAGAGACTGGGTGACCGGGTGAGAGAAATCATAGAGCAGAGGAATCTTTTGACTCCAAGAGCAGGTCCAGGCTGTGGAGCTTCCAGAACAGGTTTTGTCTGCTGTTCTTTCTCAAACCCCCATGGTTCCTTTTCTCCATGTGGCCACAGCATTCTCAAACTTGATTTTAATACATTCTGGGGTTTTGTCACATTAGAACAATGGGATACAACCCCTTTGAGCATGAGAACTGTTTCTTAACGTAAAAGACTTCACCCCCACGTCACTGTTCTGGTGCTTTTAGTGTCTGTTAATTGAGAAAATAACTAAGGAACAAAGCCTCCAGGAGATGGAGGCACACTTGAGAATTACGCCCATATCTGTATGGGAGCCAGGATTTAACCAGTCTGTTGACATGGCTGTTGTAATGTACGCATCTCTGGAGCCATCTGAAAGAACTCTGCATCCCCCGCCCCCAAGGGATTGGGAACCGTTTTGCTGGAACATGTGTGTTAAGAAGCCACATAGACATCTGTCCCCAGAGTGCAGTGCATGGCTGCCTTCTCTGTAAACCGTGGGGTGCATAAACTCAGCTGGTTCTAATTGCACAGGGTATGCCATATTGTTGCCCGATGTAATGTCAATTTTTATTTATTTGTGTTTGTGAAAAGCAGGGCTGATTAGACCACTTAAAACTACACAGGCTGGTTAGAGCCAGGCTGGCGTTAGTGATTTCAGCTGCCCTCCCCAAAGTCATTAGTGCTCCCAGCTCTCAGCCTCCCTCTGAGAATGTAAACTAGGGGCCTTGTGCTATCATGATTTCTATTTCATCCTGACTCTTATAAACTACCATATAAAAAGCAGCCGCTGATGGTTTTTTTACATTTCAATTTCATTTTGAGGCTTGGAAAATCACAAAATAAAAATAGCCCTGAGAGTGGAAAGTTTGGGGGAGTTTGTTTAGCTTTCTTTGAAATACACTTTGTGAAGAAATGTCAGTCATGAGATCTCTGTTGGTGGAGTGCTTTACTGTTGGTGTACTTTTTTTACATCGCTTTCTCCTGTGTAATCCTAAGGGAGAGGCTGTGAGGTGTGAATGATTACTATCCTCATTCTGCAAATGAGACAGAAGCTCAGAGAGATGAAAACTCTGGCCTGGGACAAGATGGCATGACCAGGAATGGCAGAGTCAGTCCAGGTAAATCCTTACCCCAAATCCTGGCCTCCCCTTACCATCTTACGTCTCTCCATGCCTGGTTCCCGCCTTCCTCCTTCCTCAGGTGTCCAGACCGTGTCTGGACAAGCATAGGCTCTGGCTTAGTCACCGGGCAACTTCCTCCCTGCCAAGAAACCTACTGCTCGGTATAAGACTATTTACTTACAGACCCTCTGGGTCCCCTTGCAGGTGGCCAGTTCCTTGAGGACAGGGCATTTGACTTTTGTCACCCCACGTCCTTAGGACCCAGAACAGGGTTTAGTACATAGCAGATACTTGGTAAATGTCCTCCAAATGGAAGCATCATTGAATAAGGAAGGGTTTTTTTTTTTTTTTTTAATCCTATTTCATTCCATTTTGGTCCTGATTATAAATTGGCCATTAAGAGATTGATTAAAGTCTTGAGGTTATTACTGGGCTTATCATTTTCCAAACTGTGTTTTGAGGAATGTTCTGAGACATGTCAATAGGCATTCCCCTAAAATTAGAATTTTCATGGTCATAGAAGTTTGGGGAATGCTGATTAAATTCAGCAGGTTTTTTTAATTGCAGATGTTCTCAAAGCATAGATCCTTCTCCAGGTCTGGTTCCCTTCGAGATCTCCCCATCTGTATGAGTTGGAGGCATACTTCTCCATTCTCACGGTTGTTTAATGAGTAACTTTTAAACACACACATCTGTACTTGTACACGGAACTCTTGTCCTGAGCAGCCCATCGTTTTCGGGGCTGCTTCTCTCACGGTGTCGCCAGTTCTCAGCAAAGCCGCGAGTGTGTATGTTTTTCTTCTTTATCGCCTTCTCTGCCTCCACACATAGCCAGGCCATAGACCTCCTAGTGCCTGAAAAACTCCCCTCCCTTTTGCCTAAAAAGTACTAAAGTCTCCTTCATTCAAATAAATATTTCCTTGTTCATACTGCTTCCTCAGGCTATGGCTCCCTTTTACTTCTGCTCTTTGACTTCAAACTTTCTTGAGGAGTTGAGCACATCCAAAGTCACAATGCCTTCCTGAGGGCAGTCTGCCTCCAATGAGTAGTGAATGCAGAGGAGTCAAGCCAGCCTCTTTGCCCCAAGTCAGGATTACTCTGCAGGTCCATCCAAGCTCCAGAGCTCCACCTGGGATTAGCTGAGACCTTTGCTTCAACACGCCAACTTCTTCCCCTGGCCAATTCTGTTCCTTCATGTCTGTCAAGGTATTTATTCCAAGAATGCTCCCCAGTTCCGATATGCTTATGTCCATCTCCAAGTCTGCTTCTCGGGAAACCCAGCCTGCAGCAGATGGTTCTCAGAGTAGCCAAGAATGTAAATATTAGTGGGAAAATTTTAAGCTGCATTTTGAGCTGGCAATAAGAACGCCATCATTGGTGGTAGATGGAATAGAGATGGCTCCTGGCACGAAATAGCAGTTCAGTTGTGAAAATTGTCATCATGGTGAACTGGAAAGGTATATACATTTAAGGAATCTTGTGGTGGGTCAGGTGTTTGGGTGATATGGAGTCATAAAGAGAATGAAGTTGGATGGGTATGTCTGAGAGTTAGTTATTGATGCTTTTGAGAAAGATAATGAAAGGCTGAGAGTAAATATTTAGCAGCATAGAAAGAAATTCTCATCTCCTGAGATCTGGAATAGAAAGAACTGAGGATCAGGCCCAGGATTTAATTATAAGAGAAGTAGAGCTTCTAGACCCAGACGGGGCTATTCCACCAAGGTTGAGTCCCAACCGGGAAGAAATGGAACCCTGTGTTATGGCAGAAGCACATCTGGGTTAATGCGCTTCAAAATCTTGAGTGTCCAGATTCCCCTGAATTCTTCAGGCTGGCAGAAGTAGCCCCCAACTCCTTCTTAGAGGCCAGTGCTTCCCCCTTGCTTGTAGACAATGTAGAGACCATTACGCTGCAAGTGAACACATGACCTCCCTCTTTACCCACCTTTTTGCCACGAGACAAAAAAAGATAGAATTAAATCAAAACATATCCTTGCCAGGAAAGTACTGAGCCTATTCAGGAAAGAAAGAAACTAGATTTCAGAGAAGCTGTAGGACCTAACCCACAAGTACAGAAGCTGGGAGAGTATGTGTGGGCCTGGACTCTGAGAGTGCTGGATCAAGGGGAGACTGACCATACAACTGGATGAGGGAGAGTTTATAGGTGTGGCAGCAAACTCCCCGCCTAGGACCCTGGGAGGCAGTGTTAGCACACCTCCAGGTGACTCTTAGAAGGTTGGAGAGGGCTTTAAGCCGCAGAAGTGAATTGGAAATACCAGAGTCACTATGGAAGACATTGAAAGGAGAGACTGAATGGCTCAGAGAACTCTGTATACCAGAATGAATAAACTGTGTAAGACTGGTAAATCCACCAGAAGACTCTGTTCCACAGATGGGCTCCGAAAACACTTCGTTTGCCGAAGCAATAGGCAACACACTGACAAAAAGACCATCATCATGGAGAAGCTCAGTGATGGCTGCTGTCTATAGACCAGAGTTAATGCTGGGAGATTTGGGCTCCTAATAACAGTAAGGATGATTAGATATCAAAAATAGAGGCCAGGTTTCAGCGTTTAACTGTGAGAAGCAAAGGATGTGCAATTATCATAGTAACAATAGGAATGATAAGATCTCAATAAGAATAGGGATGATAAAATCTCAGAAATAGAGGCCAGGTTTCAGGATTTAACTGTGAAAAGCAAGGCTGGCACAATTATTATAGTAAATTATTATTATATGACACAAGGTTCCATTTCTTCCTGGTTGGAACTCAACCTTGGTGGAATAGCCCCGTCTGGGTTTAGAAAAGCCCAATCTGCTATGGAGATGATGTAATGTCCCCAGAAGGTCAAATACGCAGGTCAAGGAACCCAGGGGTTTGTGTAGGAATAGCCCCTTTATCATCACTCTCAGTTATTCACTTGGGGAATTTGTGTTTCATTTTCACAGCCCTGGTTTCTAGAGGTTTAGCAGTGTTGGCTCACAGGGAGAAAATGCTTCAACCAAGGGACACAGCAAGAATCCCATTAAATGTTAAGCCACATCTTTCTCTGTAGTCCTTTCAGGCTCCTGGCAGGAGTAATTGATCCTGACCATCAGGAAGAGGTAGCACTGGTGTTACACAGTGGGGGCAGGGAAGAATATGTTTGGCACCCAGGTGATCCATTTGAGTGTTTCTTGATACTTTTTGCCCAGTATTGATGGTAAGTAGGTAAGTGTAGCAGTCACTGCCTGAGAAAGGCAGAGGAACAAGAGTTCAAATCCCTCAGATATGAAGGTCTGGGTCACCCTCACCAGGTAAGCTATCTGAACCTGCAGAGGCAGTAGCTGAGACTGAGGGGAGTGATAGGAGATGAAGAAGATGCTGAGTATCTGGTTTGTCCTTGGAACCAGGTACAGGCAACACATTAGTTTACAGCATTAACCTTCCTCTTTTAAGTTTCTCTAGAAAAAGAGGTCCACTAGAATCCTGAAAGATCTGCTTTCAGGACACACACCAAAGGACTGGGTCTGAGCCACATGAGGTATGGACTGGTGTAGATGCTGTGGTGCCCCAGCCAAATTCTGTCTCCCCACTCCCAGGACCAAAGCACTCATTCCCCCAGCTACTAAGAGTGTTGGCAATTGATAGCGTATGGCTGAGTCCAGTCCCAGAGGCTGCCCTCAGCTGAAGAGAGTTGCCTTGCTCAATGCCACATACCTTCCTTAAGGGCAGCCCTGAGCCTAATGGGTCATTGCTGCGCGGTCATAAAAGCTCAGCCCCATTGCCCCAGTTAGGAACAATGCTTTAGGGCCCTTCGAACACCAGAGCTCTCTATGGAATGGGATGAGGGCTTTTTTGTGACTGCATCACAGCCCAACTCCACTCTGTGCTCAGTCCTATTCCTTTGCTTCCTCCACAGGTCCCAGTTCTGAGAGCCCTCCCGAGTGCGTTTTCGGCATGCTAATCTTTTCCTCAGAGTCTATGTTCTGGAGAACAGGGAGGCAATACAAAGCAACCCTCAGTTCCAAACAACAATAAATTTCAAGCTGGATAATAAAAAAATAGGTATATGTATATATGTGTATATATTAATATATGTGGAGATATATATATATATATATAGAGAGAGAGAGAGAGAGAGGCAAATCATGGCAAAACTTCAGAAAATCAAAAAGATATTTAGAGATGGGAGGAAGGAGAAGATAATGTCGGAAAGACATAACTTTTCTCAAAAGAGCAGCAATTTTTCTGAGGGCTGACTTATCTAGAGAAAATATTGAAGCCAGAAAAGGGTGAAACGAAATCGTCAATGCAGTGACATAAAACAAGCTAGAATCTCATACCCAGGAAAAGAACCAGTCAAAAATAAGGGCAAAATACAGAAATTTTCAGGAAAAACAAAAATGCAGTAAGTTTACAAGCAGCAGACACTTAATAAAATGTTTGTATCTCAGAATGTTTGTAAAATGTTTGTATCTCAGGAATGTATCTCAGACAGAATAGATGGAGGGTGCAAGGACCTATGGTGAATGTGTATTTTGGTAAATTTGCAGACAACACTTAAGAAAACATTTAATTTATGAAATAATAATAATGTCTAATATCTGTTGGGGGCAAAGAGCGTAGAACAGACAAAAGTAGCATATGAATTTAGAAGAGTGGGAGATCAGATTTAAGGCATCCTGAAGTCATAGCATATTTGGAGAAAACAATACTATTTAAACTTTGTTCAAAAGAATGACATAGCACTTTAATTAATAAATTCCAAGCATGTAGGGGGAGAATTAGGACAGGGAAGAGAAAAAATGCAGTCAATCCAAAGGAGGTAGGAAGGGTGGGTGTAAAACAGGAAAGGCAGAATGAGTAGAAGGATAAACAGTAATAAGAGAGTAGACATAAATCCAAACAAGTCAGTAATCAAAATAAGGGAAAAAATTCTGGGCATAGTGGTGCACCCTTGTAATTCTGACTACTTGGGAGGCTGATGTGGAAGAATTGCCATAGCTCTGGAATTTGAGATCAGCCTGGCCAATATAGCAAGACCCCATCTTGAAAGAAAAAGAAAGCAAGAAGGAGGGAAGGAAGGAAGGAAGGAAGGAAGGAAAGAAGGAAGGAAGGAAAGAAGGGAGGGAGGGAGGTAGCGAGGAAGGAGAAGAAAGGAAGAAAGAAAGGTGGGGAGGGAGGGGAGAGACAGAAAAAAAGAAAGGAAGGAGGGAGGGAGAGAGAAGAAAGAAAGAGAGAGAGAAAAAGGAAGGAAGGAAGGAAGGAGAAAAGAAAGGAAAGGAAAGGAGAGGAGAGGAGAGCAAAGAAGAAAGGAACATGGTGGCTCACACCTGTAATCCCAGCCCTTTAGAGGCCAAGGTGGGCAGATCACGAGGTCAAGAGATTGAGACCATCCTGGCCAACATGGTGAAACCCCGTCTCTACTGAAAATACAAAAACAAGAATAATATTAATAATAAGCTGGGTGTGGCGGTGTGCACCTGTAGTCCCAGCTACTTGGGAAGCTGAGGCAGGAGGATTGCTTGAACCCGGGAGGTGGAGGTTGCAGTGGGCCAAGATTGCGCCACTGCACTCCAGCCTGGGGGCAGAGTGAGACTCTGTCTCAAAAAAAAAGATAAAGAGATAAGAAAGAAAGAAAATAAAGCAAGCAAGAAAGAAACAGAAGGAAAATGGACTAAGCTGTCCTGTTAAAGCACAAAGACCCTCATACCGCATAGAAACGAACTCCAGCTATGTCCTTTCTATAAGAGACTAAATAAAACACAAGGAAAAAAAAGTTTGAATGTCAAAACCTAGAAAAAATATGTCAGGAAAATATTAACCAAAAGAAAGCAGGCCTATAAAACAAAACAGACTTTGAGGAAAAAAGCATTTAAAAAGATAAAGAAAAATCACTACATAATGCTAAGAGGTTTGATTTGTTAGGAACATAACAATTGAAAACTTACATTTACCTAATAGTACACCTTCAAAATATAGAAACAAAAGCAGTTTGATCTATGAAGAGGCATTAACAAATCCTTCACTATTTTAATACAGCTTTCTTGGTTATTGGTAGATCAAGTAGAAAACAATGTTGGCAAGGATATTTGAGATTTGAACAGCATCATTTAAAAGCTTTCAGGACACTGCTTTGGTTTACCATCTCCCCCAGGTCTCCACTTCACCCCATATACACTCCCATTGCTCTTGTCCTGACTTTTTCATTCACGCATCTCAGGGTAATCCTTGATTTGTGTCTGCACCACCAGTTTTATTATCTGCCTCTGGTTTGTGGCTTTCCTCATATTCTCAATTTTGTCTTCATAGTTTCTTAAGCAAGATTTCTCTCTTCCAGTATCTTAGCCAAAGAGAAGCCTAAGCAGGGCTAGACTTAAACCCCCTTGTCTTCCTCATATTACAAAAGGAGTCGGGGGACAGGTTCAGACATCATATAAATGTTAGTGCTTGGCACATGTTAGGTAAGTGCTCATAAATGTATATAGAACAAAAGCAATAAATATTAACTTATTTGAAGGATTTTTCTCCCAGTATCATTTATTTCTAGATCAAAGTGCTTAGTCATATCAGACCCTAATCCCTAAATGCAGACAGCTTTATCCATTTTCCTTCTCCCAGCTCTGCATCCCTACACATTCCAGGTCTTTATCTTTCTTCTCTAGTCCCTATCTCCTACCACTTAGTGCCAGCCACAGAATGAGAGGCTGGGGATGGTTCTTCCAGTAGAGCTCATGGCAGAGACAGCAGTGGTATATGGAAACTACCTCATATGCAGCGCTCTCCCAGCTGATAGCCTTCTTAGAAAATGAGAATTCATCTGGCAATAAATAATAAGGGCTACAGAGTTCTTCCTACTCTTTGACCCAGTAATTCCACTTCTGGGAATTTTGTCTAAGGAAATAACCTAAGGGAGAAAAAATCCATCTGTCTAAAGATGTTCACAGCAGATCAATGCATAAGAAAGAAAAACTGGAAACAATCCAGATTCCCAGTATTGGGGAAATGGCAGGCAGATTGCGACACAGTATCACAATGGAATACACTATAGCTATTACAAAGGACAGTAATATGCACTAGGCCAATTCTTGGAAGTGTACTTCTGAAGTTACATTCTGAGAGAGCAGCCTACCAGAAAACTCACCATTTATTGTCTATTGCTTGTAAGACACTCCAAACCTGGTTCTAAGGATGAGGAAGATGAGGAAACTGAGGCTCAAGGTGTTTATTGCCCTGCCTGGAAAGAAATTGGAATTCAAGACTGGATCTCTCTGATACCAACGTCCGTGTCCTCCTGTACATGTAGCTCCCAGCTGGTCTAATTTTCCAGCAAAATAGAAAGGGAACAGAGAGTGATCCAAGCAGATTAGAGTTCTGTTTTTGATTTTTTTTTTTTTTGAGACGGAGTCTTGCTCTGTCACCAGCCTGGAGTGCAATGGCGCGATCTTGGCTCACTGCAACCTCTGCCTGCTGAGTTCAAGATTCTCCTGCCTCAGCCCGCTGAGTAGCTGGGAACACAGGCGCCCGCCACCACGCCCAGCTAATTTTTGTATTTTTAGTAGAGATGGGGTTTCAACATGTTGGCCAGGATGGTCTCGAGCTCTTGACCTTGTTATCTGCCCACCTTGGCCTCCTAAAGTGCTGGGATTACAGGTGTGAGCCACCACACCCCAACTAGAGTTTATTTTTAATTGTCTTAATAATGAGAAATGTTTACATTTTTTTAAGAAAGAGGAATAAAACAGATCTGTCTCATGAAGACCAGGCCCGACAATAGCTCGATCCAAGGGTCTGTGCCATGTAGACACCCACATTAACTATCTCTCCATGATGTACCCAAATAACCTAAGGGGCTTGTTCAGTGCACACATGCTTTCTTCCCTGAACCCCTACTCTGCATTGAAACTTTATGTCTATGACACAGTGAGCTACTGCTCGTGGCAGAAATATGGATATTTATTTTTGGTTTGGAGCCAGAAAAAAAGATTGAAAATCACTGGTTAAAGCATTGTCCTCAAAAGGTCCCTGTGAAAACCCAGGAGCTTCTGACACAAATGAGAAGAATGAATGTTTTCCAGTTTTCGACATATGACTCGATATAGGCACATTGGGTAAAATGGAGGATGCTTGGGTGTTATGTGAATTTTGGAGTAAGAGGGATTTAGGTTCAAGTCTTGGCCCAGTTGTAATTGTGGGTAAGATCTGTTTTATTTTATTTTTAAAAATATTTATTTATTTATTTTGAGATGGTGTCTCACTCTTGTTGCCCAGGCTGGAGTGCAAGGCGTGATCTTGGTTCACTGCAAACTCTGCCTCCCGGGTTCAAGCGATTCTCCTGCCTCAGCCTCCCGAGTAACTGGGATTACAGGCGTGCACCACCACACCTGGCTAATTTTGTATTTTTAGTAAAGATGGGGTTTCTCCATGTTGGTCAGGCTGTTCTCGAACTCTCGACCTCAGGTGATGCACCCGCCTTGGCCTCCCAAAGTGCTGGGATTACAGGTGTGAGCCACCGCATCCAGTCAAGATCTATTTTAAACACACACACACACCCCCCTGGCATTTGCCCTTAGAAACTGTTAGAATAGCATGTCTACCTTGCCCTTTACTCTGATATCATTGAATTTTGCCACTGAGAAAATGTCATGGTTCTTGGGCTAATGATGTCTCAATGAAATGTAAGGATTAGAAATACTTTGTTTCTAAAGATCTTCTGTTCTTTAGCTGATGCCTGCGTTTCTGTTCCTTGTCCTTCCCTAGTACATTCACCAACCAAAGTTGCAATGGCAGGAGCCTTTCTGGCTTCTCTTAGGGCCACCTGCGACTCCCTGCAGTCCAGGTGGCTGACTTCCCCACTTCCTCCTTCATTACCTCTCATTAGAGAAGCAATTGGATCACAGGTTTGGACTTACCAATGAATAAAGGGCAAGGGGCCACTTCGAGGTATTTTTAGTCTTAAAGAAACTATAAAACCAACCCAGACACAGCAATGGGAGGACTCCAGGCTCAAAGGCAGTAGGCCCAGAGGACAGCTTGGCATGAGTGCATCAGCTTCA